AGAGTCTCAAGCTGTTGCCCTGGGTAGAGTCCCAGGGCGTCATAGCGCACAGCAACCTCCAGTCTGGCTCAAGTGATCCTCTTGCCTCAGTTTTTTTTATTTCAGTAGAGACAGGGTCTTGCTTTTTGCTCAGGCTGTCTCAAACCCGTGAGCTCAAGCAATTCACCTGCCTCAGCCCCCTAAAGTGCTAGGATTATAGGTGTGAGCTACTGCACCTAGCCTAAGTACATGTATTTTGAATGAGAAGCTAGATTTATAAATGTACACTGGGAAATGAGTTTACAGAAAGAGCTCATCACAAGGTCTGGCAAATGGTAAGTAGCACACAATTGCTAGTTGTTGTTACTCACTAAATGTGTAGTCCATCCACTGCGTCATACCATGGAGAGGGAAGCTAGTGCTTTTCCCCTGGAGTGACCCAAGCCAGTGGACTTATAGGAAGTGTTTACCTAGGAAATGGGGGGGGGGCCAGGTGCAGGGGCTCACACCTGTAATCCTAGCACTCTTGGAGGCCGAGGTGGGTGGATTGCTTGAGCTTGTAAGTTTAAGACCAGCCTGGGCAAAAGTGAGACCCTGTCTCTACTAAAAAATAGAAAAACTGGGCCAAGCACAGTGGCTCACGCCTGAAATCCTAGTACTCTCTGGGAGGCCAAGGAGGGTGGATTGTCTGAACTCATGGGTTAGACACCAGCCTGAGCCAGAGTGAGACCTTGACTCTAAAAATAGCAGGGCGTTGTGGCAGGCGCCTATTGTCCCAGCTACTTGGGAGACTGAGGCAAGAGAATCGCTTGAGCCCAGGAGTTTGAGGTTACTATGAGCTGTGATGCCACGAGACTCTATTGAAGATGACAAAGTGAGACTCTGTCTCAAAAAAGAAAAAATAGCAAAACTGTGGCAAGAGGATTGCTTGAGCCCAAGTTGGAGGTTGTTGTGAGCTATGACGCCAAGGCAGTCTACCCAGGGCAACAGCTTGAGACTGCCTCAAAAAAAAGAAAGAAAGAAAGAAAGAAAGAAAGAAATGGTGGGTGGCCTTGTTTGACAACCTTCTCCTGGAGACTTTGGGGAGCCATAGTTGGAACCTCAAAGCTGGATGATCTAGATAAGGGTCATCAAACTTTCTCTGGAAGAGGATCAATAGTAAATATTTTTAGCTTTGCAAGGCATAAAGTCTCTATTATAACTACTCAAGTCTGCCATCACTGAACAAAAGCCACAGGAGATACATACACAAGGGGGCATGACAGGCTGTTCGTGGTAGCTCACATCAGGCTGTGCATGGTGGCTCACACCTGTAATCCTAGCACTCTGGGAGGCTGAGGTAGAAGATCCCTTGACTCAGGAGTTCAAGACCAGTCTGAGCAAAGAGTGAGACCCCATCTCTACTAAAAATAGAAAAGTTAGGCTTGGCCATAGCTCAGCAAGTAGGGTGCCGGCCACATGTACTGAGGCTGGTGGGGTCAAGCCCGGCCCGGGCCGGCTAAACAACAATGACAACTGCAACCAAACACTAGCCACGCATTGTGGCAGGCGCCTGTGGTTCCAGCTACTTGGGAGGCTGAGGCAAGAGAATCACTTAAGCGCAAGAGTTTGAGGTTGCTGTAAGCTGTGACTCCATAGCACTCAACATAGGGAGACTCTGTCTCAAAAAAAAAAAAAGAAAGAAAACTTAGTTGGGCATTGTGGCAGGTGTTTGTAGTCCCAGCTACTCAGGAGGCTGAGGCAGGAGGATCATTATAACCTAGGAGTTTGAGGTTGTTGTGAGCTATGATGATGCTATTGCAATCTAGCCTGGGCAATAGAGAAAGACTATCTCAAAAACAAACCTCCCCCAAGAAACAAAGGGACATGTTTCAGTAAAGTCAAATCCAACAACATAGTTTGTTGACATGTTTTAGAATGTAGTTAGGTTTAAATTTAATGCTATTAAGTAAATAGTATTAAGGAAAAATAGATGGCATGTTTACATGTTAAAAATTGTGCTAAATAAGAATAATGGCCTGTTGTCCCAGCGCTGTGGGAGGCCAAGGCGGGTGGATCACCTGTGCTCAGAGGTTCAAGACCAGCTGTAAGACCCACCTGAGGCAGAGTGAGCCAGAGTGCGAACCAGTCTCTACAACAAGACAGCTGGACCTTGTGATCCCAGCTACATGGGGGGCAAGAGAACACTACAGGAGGAAGAAGTAAAAAAAAAAAAAGAATAATGGAAGTTTAGGAAATAGTAAGAATGAATCAAAATGAACCAGAGAAACCAAACCCCCCCAATCTCCTTTTACAACAACTTAAGCTAGTTAGATGGTTCATTTTAACCAACAGTCTCTGAATGAGCCACAATCCAGGCTTTGAGGGGGAGAAAAAGTAGTGGTGTACAGGTAAATGCCTAATAACTGGCTCTCTGGAATAGGGACTGATTTATAGCATCTGCCAATTTCTATACTGTAAATTTTCTTACTGAGGCCAAGTTTCAGCTACCAACATGATGTTGGGCAATGTAGGAAATATAAACCATCCATTGACTCCTGCCAGCTGCCAGTGTGAGCTAGTTCAGCCCACTACTACTATCAGGGCTCCAAAACCAGGATCCCCAGCTTTGGAGCTGTGATGTCAGGTCCTCACGTCCCCACCAGAAAGCCCTGGCATGATCTCATCCCTTCTAGGCAAGGAAATTGTCATAGAAAAGTAGATTCTAGCTCGGCGCCTGTGGCTCAAGTTGCTAATGCGCCAGCCACATACACCTAAGGTGGCGGGTTAGAATCCAGCTCTGGTCCGCCAAATAACAATGATGGTTGCAACCAAAAAATAGCCGAGTGTTGTGGCGGGCGCCTGTGGTCCCAGCTACTTGGGAGGCTGAGGCAGGAGACTCGCTTGAGCCCAGGAGTTGGAGGTTGCTGTGAGCTGTGATGCCACAGCATTCTACCCAGGGGGATAGCTTGAGGCTCTGTCTTAAAAAAAAGAAAGAAAAGTAGATCCCGGCTTGGTGCCTCAAGTGGGGTGTATGTGCCACCACATACACCTAAGGTGGCAGGTTCGAATCCAGCCTGGCCCACCAAAAAAAACCCAACAATGACGGCCACAACCAAAAAAATAGCTGGGCATTGTGGTGGGGGCCTGTGGTCCCAGCTACTTGGGAGGCCGAGGCAGGAGACTCTCTTGAGCCCAGGAGTTGGAGGTTGCTGTGAGCTGCGATGCCACAGCACTCTACTCAGGGGGATAGCTTGAGGCTCTGTCTCAAAAAAAAAAAAAAAAAAAAGAAAAGTAGATCCTAAAAGAGAGGGCTTTTCATCCTCCTAACTTAGTGAAAGCCACAAAATCTCATTATCAAAGCCTGTGTGTGTGTGTGTTTGTGTGTGTGTATGAGAAAGAATGGAGAAAAGAGATGATGGTTGATAAGGCTGTGGAGGAATCTGGTGGGGGCATAAGACTTTCAACTAGAGAATCATGCAGTGGGAAATAATTATACCTAAACTGAAATGACATCCTTTCACTTTATTGCCCTTGGTAGAGTGCTGTGGTGTCACAGGTCACAGCAACCTCCAACTCCTGGGCTTAGGCAATTCTCTTGCCTCAGTCTCCCGAGTAGCTGGGACTATAGGTGCCCACCACAACACCTGGCTATTTTTTGTTGCAGTTTGGCCAGGGCCAGGTTCAAACCCACCACCCTTGGTATATGGGGCTGGCACCTTACCCACTGAGCCACAGGCACTGCCCTATCTAATAGTTTCTGATGTAGGAATCCAGAATGGGCTAAGTTGGGTAGTCCTGGCTCATGATCTCTCATGCGGTATTAGTCAAACTGTTGGCTGGAGCTGCCTCACCTGAAGGCTTGACTAGGGCTGGAGCCACTTCCAAGCTGGCTCCTTCACATGGCCATTGGTGGGAAGCCTCAGTTCCTCCCCACTTCTCTATAATGCTGCTTGAGATTCCTTACAACATGGCCACTGGCTCCTCCCAGATTGAGTGGTCCAAGATTGCTTGAGAGAGGTCAAGGAAGAAGCCATGATGTCTTTCATAACCCAGTCTCAGATGTCACATGATGTCCTGTCCACCAAAGGCACTAAATAGTCATTAAATATAGCCTTCACTCCAGGAGAGGGGAATTAGGCTCCACTACCGTTTAAAGAGAAGTGTATCAGGCTCAGTGTTCGTAGCTCAGTGGTTAGGGCACTGGCCATATACACTAAGGCTGGTGGGTTCAAACCCAGCCTGGGCCTGCTAACCACCAATGACAACTGCAACAAAAAAAAATAGCCAGGCATTGTGGCAGGCACTGTAGTCTCAGCTACTTGGGAAGCTGAGGCAAGATAATTGCTTAAGCCCAAGAATTTCAGGTTGCTGTGGGCTGTGACACCATGGCACTCTACTGAGGGTGACATAGTGAGACTCTGTCTCAAAAAAAAATAATAATAATAAAATAAAATGAAATAAAAAATAAGGAGAGGTGTATCAGAGAATTTGTGGACATATATTAAAACCACCACAGCCATCTTGGGCAAGTCACTTTCCCTCTCTGAATCTCAGTTTCTTCATCTGTACAGTGAGTATGCTGGCACTCACCTTATAAGGTTATAGTTCTCCATGAAACAACCAGAGTAATTGTAGGTTTTTTTAAATGTAAATAAGATCATGTCAGTTCTGTTCTTAGAATGCTCACATGGCCTTTCAATATTTGCAGAATAAAACCCAAACTCCTCCTAATGGCACACGAGGCCCTGCATGACCTGCCTTGTCCTCTCCCCACCCTTCCTCCTCCCTCTCTGCCCCTACTTACTCTGCTGCAGCCACTCAGGCCTCCTCACTGTGCCTCCAACATGCCCAGGTATGGTCCTGCCCCAGGGCCTTTGCACAGACTGTACCCTCTTCTGCTGATGGCAAAGCTGGTGACTTCCACCCTTGGTAATTATGAACATCCCAGCCCCAGCCCCTTTGAAGGCAAATTTGTAGCATATTTTAAAGTGAGCCATATAAATTTCCTTTGAGCCTGTATTTCACAGTGTCTGTTCTGAAGCAGTATTCACTCACATTCATAAAGAAACACCTGTAAGGAGGTTTGTCCTGACATTATCTGGAGCAGCACAATAACAGAGACCAAGCCCAATATCACCAGCAGGGAAGAGCTGACCTCTGCCACAAAGGACTGCTGCAAAAGCCCAGCCCCTGGGCTTGGTGCATACTGAGGCAAGTATAAAACTTCTTGAATAACACTTGAACTGCGTGACAGGGCCCTCGCCTCAGACATTGGCATGGACAAGGCATCCAGGCCAGTTAGGCAGATTCCTTTTATTGGTTCCAGACAGTTCTATGGAGGGAAGGGATGGAGTCTGCTGGTAGTGAGTGGGTATACCCACATGCCCAAAATGTGACCAAGATGGGCGGTGCCTGTGGATCAAAAGAGTGGGCGCCAACCCCATATACTGGAGGTGGTGGGTTCAAACCCAGCCCCAGCCAAAAACCGCAAAAAAAAAATAAAAATAAAATGTGACCGAGATGTCCAACAGTGTTCCAGAGAGGACCTTGAAATCACATTGGAAGAAGAGAGATGCTCCAGGGATGCCCCAGCCCTCAGCACAGGGCCAGGTGACGTAGAAGGTGCTGCAGGGCTGGTGTGGGTAGGAGGGAAACTGAGTCCTAGCTGAAGAGCTTGCTGGACCTGCCAAGCTGCTGCTTATCCCTTGTGGATCTGGTCGGTGCCAAGGCTACCTGCCCTGACTACCAGCAACTCCGGCCTTCGATGGGCTGAAACTAATCTTTGGTCTTGTGACCCTTGACCTGGCTTAGTTGCTGCCATTGCTGTCATCACTGTCCAGATATACACCCAGCTGGCTCAGGGAGGAGGTGGCAGGTGGTAAGGGCGTAGGGTCAGCTACCTTCCTGCTCTGCAGGGTGCCTGTGGGGAGAGGTGAGAGTCAGCCCACAGCATCCCATCCCGGGAGACTGGGGTTGGCCATTCTTGCTTATTTGTGAGGCCCAAAGGTGACAGTGTAGGAATGGCCTGGCCCGTCTGGAAGGTATGTGGGGGACCCACTGCAGATTTAGAACCACAAACCCTTTCTGTTGGCAACTTCACTTCTGAAAATTGACCTCTGGGAATACCCAGGCTGGCAAAGTGCTCCAGAGAAAATGGAAATGGCTCAAGGTCTAAGGTCAAACCATGCATATGGTGATCAAGAGGGGCAGATTCTGGCCCGCCATATACCCGAGTTGTATGGCTTTGGGCAAGTGGGTGTACCTCTCTGGGCCTTGGTCTCATCTGACAAATGGGGTAATAATGGCACCAATAACAACAGCTCATGTATGTCCAAGGCTTGCCATGTGCCAGATTCTACTGAGAGTGCCTGACATGGCGTAGCTCACAGAAAGAACCAAAACACCAAGCTCCAACACGACCTGTGAGGTAGGTTGTGTTATTCTCTGCATTTTACAGGACAGGAAACTGAAGCAGGGCATAGGGCTGGGGAAGTCCTACAACCATAGGGACAGAACAAGCAGGTGGAGGCATAGAGGACCTGGAGACACTGACCCCACACAAGGGACTTGACATTTGTTTTCTATACTTCTATGTGACTTGGGGATGAAAAGCACATTCTTGCTCCTTCTGTACTTAAAAGAAAAAGAAAGATCCTGCATGCCACCTCTTCTAATGCTGCTGATCAGCTCTGGGGCGGTGATGTCACCCCCCACCCATCCCACAACACTCCAGGACAGCAGCAGGAACACTGCTGCCACCTGGGGGTCATGGAAGGTGCCATTCTTGGCTCTGGAAACCCAGAACCTACCTGATGTCACCTGGCCCTGCCCAGTGTTTTGATCTGCACCTGCCTTTGTCTTCTTCACCACCACCAGGCCAGACAGCCGAGGCCTGCCCAGACTGCCGATGCTCTGCTCCCAGCTCTCCACCCTCCTCTTGGCCTTTGGGGCCTGTGGGTGACAGAGGCACATGTAGGGGTATCTGGCCCAGATCCAGCCCATCTAGATACCTCCCTGCCTCCATGGAGCCAGCCACCAGTGGGATCTGTAAACTGCCCCACTATACCGAGCTCACTGATGGCTATGTAGGGCTGAAAACAATACCTGGCACATAGTATGTGTTCAATACATGTATTTGAGCAAATGAGTGAGAAAGGGGGCATCTGCATTGGGGAAGAGTTAGGGGGAGCAGCCCAACCTCCAGCTCCTCAATCACACCACTGAGGACTCTTTAGTCTGTTTTTTTGTTTAAATAGAAGAATCAAGAACCCCTGGGTCAAGATGGCTGTGATGGGGGACCTGCCTTCACCAGCCTGCTGTAGGAAGAGAGAGAGAGGACAAGGGGACAACACCCATCTACATGAGAGATATGCCAGGGCTTGTGATAGCAGGTGTTAGGAAGGCTACCACACCTGGCCATGCCATCTGTTTTTGTAAATAAAGTTTCACTGGCAGATAGCCATGCCTACTTATTTACATATGATCAACAGCTGAGTTTGGGCTGCAAGGGCAGAGTGGAATAGTTAAGACTCGGACTATCTGGCCTTTTAATAAAAAGTTAATCCAACCCCTGGCTTGACCCGTCCCCACTTAGAGCCTTGGCAACTTAGACAGCCCCACTTACCTCATCCAGGATGGCAGTGGGGCTGGGCCGTAGGGCAGGCTTGGGCGGGGGAGGAATAGCATCATCTTCAGAGTCAGAGTCTTCCAGCAGTCTTCTTTTTCTAGCTTCTTCCAACAAGGCCCTGTGGGATGGTTAAGTACCTGGATGCTAGAACCAGCCTGTCTGGATTTGAACCTTGCCTCAAACCTGGATGGGGCCCCCACAACTTGCTGACAGCTGAAGCTGCTGGGCTTGAATTGCTCCTGCAAATACTGTGGTTTCCACCAGAGTCCTAGAATCTCAGCACAGGCTGGGGGGCCTTGTGACCAGCTCCCATGGAAATCCAGCGTGAGGTCTCAGTGGAATACTTCACGCCTGTCATCACAGCTCACTGCTGGGAGTGGAGTGCGTCCTGCATGACTCTACAGGGAGAGGATTCTGGAAGCTGGGCCTGGCCTCCCCAACTTACTCCATGTGCCTTTTCTCTTTATTGACTCTGCTGTGGCCTTTCACTGCCATGAACCATGACCATAACGGCAGCTATGTGCTGAGTCACCATGCCTAGGGTGGCCATGGGGAATATGAGAAAGCAAGGTGGACAGGTGTGGAAAAGGACTCACTGAGAAGCTGACACTTTGGTGAGCCACGGAAAGACCCAGAAGGAGGGCAATCATGGGCAATGGCTGTGGGGTGGTCTTGACTCACGCGGTCTCCTGCTCATCCTCCTCCTGCTCCTGCTTTTGCCGCTCTTCCTCGGACAGGCGGTGCTGCCGCAACATGGCCTCAAAGTCTACGTGGGCCTGGCGTTGGTTCAGGTCCTTGAGCTCCTGCAGGTTCTCTAGCACCTCCATCTCCAGCTTGGAGTCCTTGGTCCGATTCTCCAGCACCTGGCAGGTGTAGCAGGGCAGGGCTGAGCATGTGGGGACTGCATGCCACCTAGCCTTGAGGGTCACTCCCACCCTGGCCCTTATCTTGTTCAAGGATGTCCTGCCTGGTCTTGTCATTGTGTCTATCTCACAGGGAGAACTGAAGTTTGGGGAGGTGGAGTCTCCTGGTCAGCAGTACAGCAGGAAAATGAACCCATGGGCAGGGCAGGGTGGGAAGAGTGTGGCCCGCATTTCCACCCTGGCTCCAGCATTAAGTAAAAATAATAAGGAAGAATTAAATATAATATAAAAGACAACCTGTGCATGTATTATATGCCAGGCCCCAGGCTGAGATGTTTCTAAACATAAACTTCATTTAGTCCTCACAATGCCCAATGTTGTTCCTTCACAGGGACTTCCTCTGTGTCTAGACCCAGATAAAAGGGCTCAGGCCCATGTAGATAACCTCTTTTTGCAAGGCCACCAATCTCATCATAGGAGTGAGATCCTCCCAATTCAGTCCTAGGGAAGATGCCACATATATGCACCAGGAGGAAAGGTGCTGGCTGTGTCAGTACATATGCACACCCACCAGCACACACATGTACCTACACACACCCATGTGGGGGTTGACTCACCTTCATGGGGTTGTTGAGCTCCTCGTCCTCCCTTTCTTTCTGTACCCTCTTCTCCTCCTCCTCCAGGAGCTTCTCAGCCTGGAAATTCCGTGTGGCCCCATGCTCCATGGTGTAGTCTGTGTTTTGTGGGTCCGTCTGTGAGGGAAGATGGGCAGACAGACATTAGCTCTTACATCCCTGAGCACTGAAAGCTTCTGCTAAAGCACTGTCAGCAACAGGGGACCCTTTTCTGTTTTTTACTCCCTCTACTACCTTTTCTTTCTTTTTTCTTGTCTTATTGCTTTGGCAGGTATGGTTCTTCCTTCTTAGTGTCCCTGTCTCCTTCTTTAGAAATGCCCAACTCCATACCTTTTATATGAAAGCTATAACCAAATAGCCTAAGAATATGGGGAGGGGGGAGGGAGAAGGGAGGAGGGAATGGGTGGAGGGAGGGGGTTTGGAGGGATCACTTCTGAGGTTTATCTTATAGGGGTACAGGTGAATCTTTCTAAGAGTAGAATGTGAACATTTTAA